TGTTCGATTATGCGTAAAATCCGTGTAGACAATCATTTTCACTATAAGAATTTCCTTTAAACATGTTCAAAACTTATAAACATGTTTACAATCATGTGTTCAAAATTTTTGGTAAGCATTATGATGTTTGAAAGTAAGGACTTTATATTGTCCATTTTTATATTGGATTTGAAAAGCTATTACCATCAATTGATCGGTTAAACCAAGTTTTGAAGCTAAATACATTTTTTTTATTAGTATTAACATTTTAATGTCCATTTAGTCGGTTAAAAACACACACTAGTTAAATGCTAAATAAGTTTTACTTGGGAAGTCATATAAAAGGCGAAATAAAATGAAAGAGTAAAAGCATTCACACAAACAAAACATGTTTTTATCGTTACAAATATACTGAAGTTGAAAATTTTCCATGGCATGAGATATCTTTCATTGTGGTTTCTTAGTTTCCTTATTTGTTTATTCTACTTATGTAGAAGTAAGGTACCAATAATTCTAGTACATTATGTATTAGTTACTTGTAAATTCAAGATTTTAACGTTTCTTTAAACTACATTTTTGTTGATATTCAAACATGTGCGCTAGAAGCACGGCTAGTCTAATTAATGAACGATGAATGTTTGCGAATTTATCTTTGACCTATGACATTGTTAGGGCCGTATTATGTACCAAATACATTATGAAATCATGCAACATATGCTATTCATCTAAACTTTAGTTTCAATGGTGAAGGTAATATGAGTTTCACAACTCCGGATGTTACTCCTATAGTTTTTGTATTAATGTCCGTATTTTTTTGTCGATAGGTAACGTGAAGTAACAAGTTATTTGCACTCTAACTTATATAAATGATTGTTTTTGGATTTGATTAACAATAATAACACATTAAGCTTTTACGTTTATGCAGATTTTCTGTCGTGTGTCTATCCATGAAAATGGGCATCTCAATATATATGTGATGATAATGGCGCTATCGAAGTTTCATTGTTAAAGCAATATTAAAGAGAAAAGTTTGATGAATGACTAAACACTTTTTTGCATTTATATTGTATGCATTTAATTATCTTTTTACTTGGAGCTAATATAAATTTAGAGACATAATACCCAATGAGAAATAACATAAAATTTTAACATGCATATGGTAGCACAAATTACACATTAATCATTCGTAGAATTCATAAGACTAATTAAACTTTTTATTATTAAAAAATGTTATTAAAAAATCAAAACACTTAAACCAAGGATATTAACGAATCTGTTTGAATAAAACCAAATAAAGAATAATTTTTTTTTTCTAAAAAGAAAAAGCTTCTTCATTGACATAACTAACATCTTATTTACAAAGCTTGAAATTTTTATTTATAAATTAAGGTATCTATTGAAAGCTGTAATGATACCTTTTTAATAAAATCATTTTATATTAGTAAATCAAAATAATTTTAGAAGTAAAGAAATATTGATAACGTCATCTTTTCTTTGTGTTATTTCATTTTCATTGGCTGATCACATTTATTATTAGAGTATATATTTTATTATATAAATAATGAGTGTGCAAACATGTGTGTGTGTGTGTATATATATATATATATATATATATATATATATATATATATATATATATATATTTGTGTGTACATATGTATTATATTCGATTTTTTGGTCGGTGATTAATGGTCTAAAGTTTGTGTAATTTTCTTGGCTCATAATTTTTGTATTGTACTTAGGTGTAGTTCACTACACTTGTTTTTGTGTCGATGTCATGTATGTGGTTTATTTAGTTTAAAAAAAAACAGGTAACAAATGTAAAAAAAGAAATTGGGGTTTTTATACTTTCTGAAATGTGTAATTTGGACTCTATTAGTTTTCAATTACACTAAAGATATGGATATATTTTTCTATGTTCTGAAGCTCATAATTCCCATAAATACATGCTCTAAGAGCTAGGGATATGCCTTAGGGACACATGAAGGACATTTTCCCTTAGACATGAAATCATCTAAAGCATGAATGAATTAAGCACCATCTAACCCACTCTAACTAATTTTGGTTCAACATGTGATAGAATAATTCTAATCACACTATTTTGTGCCTACAACTATTTTTACTTATGAGGGTAAGGAAGGTATTTATATCAGAAAAAGTTTATGGTCCAATTTATTCCAATTATCTGGGTCGGGCTATAAGTCGTAATATTATATTATGGCATTGATTTTGGCTCGACTATTTGTCTAATGCACTAATGACACGCCCTATGGTTTCTAATAAATGGGATCTTAAGCATTTTATTGGATTGACCAATGCCCACATGACATAATAAGTAGTTTCCTAACAACTTGTTTTTGAACTAACATAAATGATTGTGTCCAACTTCTTTATTTTATGTTGTTTAATCAAACTAACATAAAGAAGCATAAACAATTGAAGACAAATAAAAATAAGTGAACATAGACAAACATATAGAAAGTAAACAAATGAATGAATTAAAATAAGCGTAAACATCGTAATCAATAACAATAATACTTGATTAGCAACACTTTGATATGTTGATCATACTTAGTGTCACACCCCGACCGTTTCCGGAAACGCCGACGTGCGCGACGTAAATTAGTAATCATAGTTATTAAACATATATTGAACAGTACACATATAATCTTCTATTATTACCGAAATACAAATTACATTGACTATTGCTAAATCGTGACACACGCCTTACAATCCGACGTTTACAAAGGTATAATATAAATAATGGAAAGTCTTCAGAGCGAACACTTCCGGCCTGCTAAATAACCTGAGAATACATGCATTAAAATACATCAACAAAATTGTTTGTGAGTTCTGCAGGTTTTGATACCAAATATTTTTATAACCAAAAGTGTTTTATAAAATTTATCTGGTTGACCAGCTTTTATAAATACGTACATTTCTATTAAAAGTATAAGATAATTGACTTATAAAAATGTATTTGGTCTCATTTAAAAACATCATTTCTTCAAATCCAAATTCTCAAATTTTGGCAAAATACATATAAGTAAGTCAAACTTATATAAAAGTTATATGGTTCTCATGACCAAAATGTCTTTTTATATAAGTATTTTGAGTGCCAATTTATATAAAATACAGTCATATCACATCTTGTGAAAACATAAAATGACCAACTTTACTATAAAAGTCTTATACAAACGTTTGTATAGTTTATATGTAAAACTCTTAAATTCGAATTTATAAACTTTGTAAAATCGTGTCAAGGTATTATTTAAGTATTTTCTTACTTAATTTAGGAACCGACACTTAACCAATGGGGCAAACTCCTCCCACATACATATTACCTTTTCGTACAAGAATAAAGGGTTTAAGTAAATAACTTATTAGATGTAAGTTATTAAACCTTAATGAGTCGTGCCATGATATTAATTAAGTGTGGTATAACTTAACTTCTGGTATTGACACTTATCGTTTTGGGTCACAAACTATTCCACAACCTACAGTCTCTTTCAACTTGTATCAGTGAACGAAACCCCGTATAAACCAAATGTTGATTCTATACAATAACGAAATAAAACTGGGATTTTATAATGAACTCATAACCGAACTCGTATCACTACATTTTTTTGCCCCGACTCTATAGTAGGGCATGCTTAAGTCATTCACCCCCGTTATAACGCGTGGTAATGTTTAATGCTGCTAAAGTCAACGCCAAAATTCATCTCGTCAGACATAGTTGTAGCTAGCAACTCCAGACGGGTGCTCTAACAATATAAGATCAATAGTATGACACTTATAATTGTCGTTATTCGTTCCTTGCGGATTAACAGTTATGAAAATTAAAAGGTTTTCCACTAAGACACATAGTCTTTGTATAGCTAACAATATATCCCAAATGCTTTAGGAAATGAACCTAACTCATATGGATTTAGAAACTTTTGATCCTCAGTAACGAAAAACACCCCATCATAAAACTCCCACTTTCACCCCTTTCGTAAATCATCTCACACATAAACACACCAGATCTAACCCACAAACACCATGACTCATAGCTCAGGAAATGATCCTAACTCATAAGGCTTTTAGAAACAAACATAACTCATATAGAACGTCCAGTGGATGTGATACATTCTAACAACATGTCTAGGCGTCTAATCTTGAACTTCCCATTATAAGATATCGGACACCTACAATTATTTGGTGTTTAGGATTAATTATTGATAGAAGTCTTATGGTATTTGAGATTCATAGGACTTAATACATTTCCAAGTTTTATTATCTACCATGATGAAATTTGGACATCATAACGGCTGTTTTGATAATATTTTTCAGGTTTCAACCAATGTGAAACCAACAATTCCATAATATTTATGATTCACGTGATTAACACAATGTAATATGTCGCAAATAATGACTCTTAAGTTCTGAAGTCAGTCATGTTATTTGTTGTCATAAAATCCATGACTTAGTAGAATGAGTTATCTTTTTATATTTAATATAAAAATATATTAATAAATTTTACTTTCATTTTTACATAATCTATATAGATTAGAAGTTACTTTTCAATAATTTTAACTATTAATTATATACTTTCATAATCTTGTTTCTTTAATCAAACATGACAATGTACTTTCGTATTATACTCGAATAATATTTTAGGTTGTTTGTATATCTTTTCCTACTTTTAGTCGATACTTTAACTTATTCATATAAAATTGTAATTTTTGTGATTTACAATACCAACGCATGTTATAATAACAATTTACATATAATATTTTGATTTTTATTAATGTTAATTAATATATTACAACAAGGTGTATTTATATTATTTAAAGCATTCTACTTTAATTTATTTGATTTTTACAATTTAAACTACTAATGTGTAAGATTTCGACCAAATATAAAGTACGATGTTATTTTAACGTATAAAAATATGTAAATCGACAAAAAATAATAGACAAGCATATATTCTCCATCAAATATTAAAATTGAAAAAGAGAGGCCGTAGAAACTCACCTTGGATGCGTGAGTTCTAGTTGTTCAAATTCAGTTTGTTAGAGAAGCTTGACATGAGAAAATACAAGCCCATCATTCTTGAATTTTTTTTAAATACATGCAGGTCCATTTCGTAACGAAATTGAACTATCGGGACTGAAGATTGGGATTCATTCTGTTAAAAATAACCAAATGAGGGTCTGTTTGTGGATAAATGGAATCACCTTTTAGGGATTCGGACCTATTTTGAATATAGATTTTAACAGTGGGAGCATTTTAGTCATTTCATAAAATGACTTCAACTTAGGGCTCATAAGCCCCCGTCTCTTTTGTTTTGATCGGGTAAAGGACATGAATTTGTCCCAAAAGAAGTCATGAAGGAACAGATGAACAAAGGCAGTCCATCATAGACGCGAAGGGGCAATCGGCGACCAGAAGGGAGCACGATGGTTCGTTGCTCGACTCGCAATCGGTGGCGGCCTCCGGGGTTCGACTAGACTGAAGAAGGGGAAGGATCGAAGCAGCGAGGCGGTTGTGTCCTCGGACGAGAAGAAAGAAACGAAGCCCATCGGGGCTGCTCGTCTTCAGTCTTGGAAGGAGTTGCGAAGGGGAAAGAAATCAGAAAAGGGGTCCGATAGAAGGTATGCACTGGCGATCGATTGAGCTGCTGAGAGGGAAAGGAAAGTGCGAGAGGCGGTGACAGGTGCGTGAATGGGGGCTGCTCCGGCAGTTCCCCTGATTTTCTTCTTTTTTTTTTTCAACAGAAATGAAACAAATGGATTGTTTGGATTTGTTTGTGACAGAAATCAATAAAGGGAAAGGATGTATGGGTGTGATTGATTGGCAGGAAGAAGGAAACACGAAGAACCTTGGTTATTCTTAGCAGCAATCGAAGGATGAGAAGAAGGAATAACAGAGGGGGGCTGAGAGTGGTAGTTTGTTGTCCAACAGGTAAGCGTATGGGGCTGCTTTGGTTGAAGAAAAGGAGGGGGAAGGGTTTGCAGTCGAGGCTGGGATAGGGAGCCCTCTTCTTCTTCGGTTTTGCTTGAGATTGTGAGAAAGAGTCAAGAAGAAGATCGAGGTTGATCAATGAATTCAAAATCGATCTTATGTAGAGTTGTGTGAAACTTTTGTGTACCAAAAGATCTAGGTGTGATCCTGAGAGTACAATGCATTGCATTATTGGTTTATAATTGTCCATGTGGGTGTTTTTGTGTGTGAGAAATTGGTCAAATACATGTATCTATTCATGTATTTGTTTGAATTTCTATTAGGCTTGATATGCATTAATAGTTTCCTTTGGGTCTTATGCATGTGTGGTGTATAAGTGAGTCTGTGAAAGTATATGTTTGAAGAGTGATGATCGAAAATTTGAGTCATGGAGTGGTTAGAAATTGTTCATATTCATGTACTTAGTATGTTTCTATTAGATTTCAAGCATGTGGGTGTTGTTTGAAAATAATAAATCAGGCCAACTACATATACATTCATATACTAAACTCTTGTCATATTTGAATATCTATATAATATGTACTAGGTGTGAGACCCATGTATTACATGGGTTTAATTAAAAAAACAAATATAAAATTTTAACAATTTGAAAAGTTTGAATTTATAAGAAAAATGAAAAAAATTTGAATTATTAAAATTAATGAGACTTTAATGTATTGAATATATTACATATATAAACTATTTCTAATAAATACTTTATGTCACACCCCCAAACCAAAACGGCGGAAACGTTCGGGGGCGGAGGACGTCATATTCAGTATCATAACAGTTCATAGAAAGGAAAGCACACACCACCATATATATAAAGTTTCCAAGATGTTTACATAATTGTATTCAATACATGTTCAAAAGGTAAATACATATACATCATTCAAAAGAAGTAATTAACGCCAACGCGTTAATCCCAAAAGTTGATTCCCAAACCTGCTTAGCGGTTCCCTGAGAATACAAGTTAATTCAAAGAAAAAGTGTCAACAATTAAGTTGGTGAGTTCATAAGTAGTTTAGAAAAATTGGATGCCATTCCAAAATGGGTGTATGTTTTCTAGAAAACGCAGTATTTCAAATGTAAAGAGTTATGATTTATTGTGTTGAAAGTGAATGTATTAGATCTAGAAAATCCCATATTTTCCCTAATGGTTGAGATACGAGTTGTTGTGTTTTCCAAGAAAAACCCTTATTTTCTTATAAAAGTATGAAATGCATATGAATGTTCGTGTTATAAGTTGTAAATAAATGCACCAGGAAAATCCCTTATTTTCCTAACCTAAATGGCAGTCTCTAAGACCGAAAATCGCAAGAAACCGACGTTCTCAAAAGTTGTGTCACAGTTTTATATAATAAAGCTATACGACGATCGCATTTGTTAGATGAAGAATAGTTTTAATAGCTACTCGTTCATAAAAGCATAATACCATAATAATTGTATATCCGATGAGTTTTATAACCATACTAAACATAATATGCCTGTAACGACGTTCTTCAGGCGTCGCAGCATTATGACAACTGTCACCCCAAAAGACGGACTGTAGCTAACAGTCAGGGCGCGGGATCATGACTTCCCGTATAGATCTATACACATTTGACACGTTCTCTGAACGGGAGACTCTGGTTATAGACAGGACTTGCAGCATTACTTTCTAATAAAGAAAAGTAACGTTTGAAGATATACACGTCTCATGGATTCTCAACTAAGCCTGTATTAAAGTGATAGTTTTGTATGCAAAGTTTATCCTTTTTCACAATGTTTGACAAAGCAAAATCATAAGTTTTTAGAATGTATAGACCGACTTAACAATGAAAGGTACTTTGAAATCATTATATACTTTGTATAAGTCTAATGCACGCAAAGTATGACAAGAGTTTTCCATAGTAGTAATGAGTTCCAAGTGATTTATTCGATAAAACAAGTGAAGTGAAACTTTATAAAATACACGATAATAACCGTATGTTTACTTGTATTCCCCCCCCCCCCTAAATGAGTATAAAAGCATTTAAAATGTATTTAAAGTGTGTTTGAAAGGGGTATGAACTCACTTGAAAGTTTGAAGATAGCAAGATGGAAAACCGGGCAGAGTTTCGTCTCGGGAAATGGATTTTCCTCGGAAATATCGGGATTCCTCGGGAGTAAAATCGACCTTCGGGACTTGCACAAAATGACCAGGGCTTCGGGGTAGCGCGAGCACGAAAACGAGGTAAAACGCAAGAAAAAGGAGAGAGAATGAGCCATTTTCCCGGGAACCCTCGCATCCCTTTTATAGGGGGCTGAGAGGCATGCATACGCAGCGCGTACGGGACGTCACTGCTGACCGCATCCTCGGCTGCAGCGCTTCGGACGGGACGGGGGAGGGGGTAGCTCGCATAGGGGTGACGTGGCGATCCGAGGCCGTGGCCTCGAGTACGCAGGGCGTACACGGGTACGCGGCGCGTACTACGGCCCTAGGCTGACTCCCCTTCGGATAATACCGAATTTTTAATAAAAATTATATATAAATTATTTATCAAACTTCAAAAATTCATATCTCCTTCATACGAACTCCGTTTTTGACGTTCTTTATATCCCCGCGAAGGTGAGACTACGATCTACAACTTTCATTTAGATTCCGTTGGCAAATTCCGAAATTACTTTTATTATTTATTTATTAAAATGACGTAATTAAGGAATTTTTTTAAAAATTCATAACTTATTCATACGATGTCCGATTTGAGCGTTCTTTTTATGCATGTTTGTAGTTTAACGATATCTATGACTTTCATTTAGACACCTAAGGTCAGAAAGTATTTTATTGAAACTTTGCGTTTTTACGCAACTTCGTATTACCGGTTTTTGTCGGATAACTTAGAATGGTCATAATTTCTTCGTTATAACTCGGATTTTTGTGTTATTTATATGTTTGGAAACCTTAAGACGATACCTACCACATAGTGTACTCCAAATAGAGTTTTTGAATACTTCATTTTTCGATGATATTCTAATTCCTTTTTCAAAGAGGTTACAGGACTCGATTTTTACTGACTTGAAATAACGGGTTGTTACACTTTACATATATATTACCTTACACATTAAATGTGGAAATTTAATTTAATAAAATAAAAAATACAATAAAATGATAAGTGGAAAATATAAATTTTAAAAATTCTAGAAAATGCCATGTGTCCAAATGAATGAGAAGTTGGACTTCCGGTGGACCCTCTGCATCGGCAACATCGACGTTTTAATTGAGGTCTAGCCTAAAACCCACGTCCGAATCATAAGTTCTTGGTCTTTTGTTGGAGCCGGTGGTCAAGTTCGAACGTGATGTCTCTGGATTAAGAACCTATTTTGGATTGTTACGGCTTTCCCATGCTTTTTGGTGACTAAATGGTTTACCATTCTTGGTAACTTTAAATTGGTAGCATGCGGTTGATAAAATGTTGAAGTCGTTGGAACCACTTTTATGCGTATTTTTTAGATTTTCAAATATGGCATTAAAATTTGTGCAAACCGCATGAAGATCACGCCATTTTCCCATGACCGCGTCGTACGACCGATCCATTTGGCTTCCAAGTAGTGCGTGCAAGAGATCCAAAACACGATTCCAAAAACTTTCTCTGGATTGTGTGTTGCCTCTTCATGAGTCACATGATATGGAAATCCAAGCTTTTACTAAAGCTTCTTCCTCTTCTTCGTTCCAAGCCACTACTTTCTTTTCCCATTTTGCTTTTTGTTGCCTTCTTCGAGATGGTTGTGGTGTTTCGTGGACCCGTTCATCGTTGTTGTCAAGGTTCACAATTTGGGGTTGAAATAATAGGACTTGAGATGATTGTGTTTGGAATTGTTGAGAAGTTTATTGTTGAAAACCTTGGAATTGGGGTTGAGTGAATTGAGGTTGAATGAATTGTTGTTTTGGTTGTTGTTGTTCGAAGAATTGTGGGTTGTATAAAAGGTTAGTGAATAAAGATTGTTGTTGGATTGGAGGGTATTGCATGTGTGTTTGATAATCATTTTGAGTGTTTGAGATGTTTGGAGTGGGTGATGTATTTTGGTTTGGGTCCATTTTTTTTGAAGAGAATAGATAGAAAGTATGAGAAAGTTTTTAGTTTTAGAAGTATAAAATGAAGATAAAATGTGCAGTATATATATAATTATATATATAAATAAAAGATGTAGACATTATTTAAATTTAAATTTTTTAATAATTTTTTTAAAGTTCATAAATGCTCGAATACATTTCTCTCTCCTCGCGATTAGGCGTCTTCGCCCGTGGATGGGGCTACACCACAAGGCCTCTACGCACACCTGCAACGGTCTTCATGCGGAGGTGGCCATGCCACGTCAGCTCTCATCTCATTCCAGAATAGTTTATTTTATATACAGAACTAGGTGTGAGACCCATGTATTACATGAGTTTAATTAAAAAAACAAATATAAAATTTTAACAATTTGAAAAGCTTGAATTTATAATAAAAATGAAAAAAATTTGAATTATTAAAATTAATGAGACTTTAATTTATTGAATATATTACATATATAAACTATTTCTAATAAATACTTTACATATATATTACCTTACACATTAAATGTGGAAATTTAATTTAATAAAATAAAAAATACAATAAAATGACAAGTGGAAAATATAAATTTTAAAAATTCTTGAAAATGCCATGTGTCCAAATGAATGAGAAGATGACATGTGCCAAAAAAACCTTCATTTATTATAGGAGATTATATGGATTGAGATCTAGGTTACGAATTTGCCAAAATTACAAAATAAGCCAAGACTTGGTCTTTTAATGTCATATATGACATTTATATACAAATATGTTATATATAGTGATTACATGACTGTCTATTTAACGTATGCAAATTTGGATTTATAAAAATTATGACAATTACATAGTAATTTTTGAGAAATACGTTCCTAACACCAATATGTATAAAATTTTTCACTATTTTAGGAATATAGAATAATGTCTAAGATAAACTCGGATGAAAATCATAAGTGTTGATTTCAAAAACGTGCTCAAAATATTTTACGAGATTCGGGGCTATTCAAAACGAAGCAGTGCACAGTTTGATTTACGAAAATAAGATAAATACTAATTTTTGTAACTTTAAAAATGCGTAACTTCTTCATACTATATCCATTTTCGATGTTCTTTATATCCATAGAAATTAGGAGAACATAATCTATTCACATTTCTTATCCATAACTCTTAAATATACTTAATACAAAAATTATATTTAACGTCACCAATAAATTTAATTTTTGTTGACTTTTGATTCGATCTTCAACGATAGACGATTTCTAAAAGAAATTATAAATATAATATATTTAATATGCATTATAAATATAAAGTTACACACAATTGGTCATTAACACATAGCGATTCGCGGTGGTTTGACCGTGGAACTCTAACCGATTTTTACAAATTGTTACACTTAGTGGTGACACATTTGATATTTTACCAAATCCACAAGATATAAAACCTAAACTAATTTTAAAAATCCCAGGTTAACACGGGTCATGGCCCTGGTTATTTTCCGAGTTATTGGTTCATGCATTACTCAGAAGTAATTATGATATATATATATATATATATATATATATATATATATATATATATATATATATATATGTCTGTGTGTGTATGTGTGTATGTAATTAATCATGTATAACTTACGTAGTAATTACAAAACATACATTATTAATTCCAAAGTTAAACTCTTTGATTTGAAAGAACATAAACAGTTACGAATCAGAAACATTATAAATTCCAATGAACATTCGCAACATATTTCATAAACGAATCTAAAACAACAACATATTTTTTAAAATCATGGCAAGACTCACATTCTCATTGTGTTTCATTGGCTTTATCTTGTGCCTCATTATGTGAACCAATTCCGTGCAAGTAAGATATATATAAAAAAACTCATTACTAGTGTACTAACAACTATAAAAAAATGTTTTAGATTGCAAAATATTATGCAAATATTTAATGGGATTATGATGTTTTTGTTTTTGTTCATTTGATAATGCATAGGGGAAAACTTGGTGTGTAGCTCAAAGCCAGGCTACCGAACCGAAGTTGCAACAAGTTCTTGACTATCTTTGTGGACAACTCGACTGCAAGGAAATTCCACCTGGAGGATCATGCTTTAACCCTAACACTGTGCGAAATCATGCGTCTTATGCTATTGATCTTAACTTTCAAATTAATGGTGTATGCGATATTAGTTACGCTACTACTGCTATCACAGATCGATGTAAGTTTCTTTTTCTTTTGGAATATTTTCTAAACAATTGTTCTGGCACATCAAATATCGGGTGATAGGTGTACCAAATTGAAACTAATTTTGTGGTTTTTTATGTAGCTTTCGGGACATGTGTCTACCCATAAGTATAAAAAAAGTCGTAATCAAACGACACATTGAAGGGAAGAGCATATATTTAAAATTCTTGAAAGGTGAAAAGAATGTATAAAACAATCAAATAAGTGGGAATAAAATTTTCTTTTAGTCTTTACCTGTTTTGTGTTATATTATACTCTGTGTATGCTAAGAACATCGTATACCATTTTAAGAAAGTTACGTTATTCTTCATTTTAAAAATATATGTACTCGTTTGATATCTTTTGAGTTTAAGTGAAATGTTTTATTGTTTTTTAAATATGATTTTATGTATTTTGAAAATAAATTAGAAAAAAGGTTGAAATTAAGGTTATGATATTATCCGTGTTTAGATTAAGCATCGATAATATGTTTTTTTGTAAGACTTTTGTAATGTTTATTTACTTCCATAAATTTGCAATGATATCTATATTATTTAAATGATTCGTAAGTCTGAGGCAAACTTCAAATTGTTTGGAGGGTTATTAATGAAAATTAACATTTTCTCTTGATGTATATAAGGAACCTAATGTATCCTTTAAACATTACAAACTAAATCACCTAGCCCGAAAATGTAATATGTTGTAGAATTTTGAACTTATTTTAGTGGTCATCGATATATAAGCCATGAAATAAGTTGGAGCGAAATTTTTCACTAAACTAATTTTTGAACTCTCTCATGAACATTTTCACTTTGAAAGAATATGTTTAGTGATCTTCAAATCATGAAAAGAAAACATATAAATCTTCTACTCCCTCTTCTTTTAATTATGTGTATAATTATATTACACAGTTTCCGATCTTTTTAATCTCTAAATAAAGTCCATCTATGGAAAACATATCGTAGTGTTCGATTATGTATAAAATTTGTGTAGATAATCATTTTCACTATAAGAATTTCCTTTAAACATGTTCAAAACTTATAAACATGTTTCACAATCATGTGTTCAGAATTTTCGGTAAGCATTATGATGTTTGAAAGTAAGGACTTTGTATTGCCAATTTATTATATTGGATTTGAAAAGCTATTACCATCAATTGATCGGTCAAATCAAGTTTTGAAGCTAAATACATTTATTTATTAGTATTAACATTTTCATGACTAAATACTCGGTTACAAACAAACAGTAATTAAATGCTAAATAAGTTTCACTTCGGAAGTCATATAAAAGGCAAAATAAAATGAAAGAGTAAAAGCATTCACACAAACATAACATGTTTCTATCATTACAAATATATTGAATTTGAAAATTTTCCATGGCATCAGATATCTTTCATTGTGCTTTCTTAGTTTCCTTCTTTGGTTGTTCTACTTATGTGGAAGTAAGGTACCAATAATTCTAATATATTATGTATGAATTACTTGTAAATTCAAGATTTTTAACGTTTCTTTAAACTACATTTTTGTTGTGATTCAAACATGTGTGCTAGAAGCACGACTAGTATAATTAAGGAACGATGAATGTTTGCAAATTTATCGTCGACCTATGATATTACTAGGGTCGTATCGTGTACCAAATACATTATGAAATCATGCAACATATGCTATTCATCTAAACTTTAGTTTCAATGGTGAAGGTGATATGAGTTTCACCACTCCGGATGTTACTCCTATAGCTTTTGTATTAATGTTCGTAATTTTTTTGTCGACAAGAAATGTCAAATAAAAAGTTATTTGCACTCTAATTATATAAATGATGGTTTTGGGATTTGATTAACAAATATAACACATTAAGCTTTTACCTTTATGCAGATTTTGAGTCGTGTGTCTATCCATCAAAATGGGCATCCCAATATATCTGTGATGATAATGGAAATAATCGCTATCTACCTTTCATTGTTAAAACAATGTTAAAGAGAAAAGTTTGATAAATGAAGAATCACTTTTTTCCATCTATATTGTATGCATTTAATTATCTTTTTATTCGGAACTAATATAAACTTAGAGACATAATTCCCAATCAAAAATAACATAAAAAACTTAAAATCCATAAGGTAGGACAAATTACACATTAATCTTTCGTAGAATTCATAAGACCAATTAAACTTTTTATTATTAAAAAATATTTTTAAAAATTCAAAAAACTTAAACCAAGGAAATTAAAGAATCTATTTAAATAGAACAAAATAAAGAATATTTTTTTTTCTAGAAAGAAAAAGTTTCTTCATTGACATAACCAACATCTTATTTACCAAGCTTGAAATTTTTATTTATAAATTAAAGTACCATTTGCTGTAATAAGACCTTTTTAATAAAATCATTTTATATTATTAATCAAATTAATTTTAGAAGTAAAGAAAGATTGATAACGTCATCTTTTCTTTGTTTTATTTCATTTTCATTAGCTGATCACTTTTATTATTAGAGTATATATTTTATTATATAAATAATGAGTGTGCACACATGCGTGTGTGTGTCTAAATATATATATATATATATATATATATATATATATATATATATGTATATATATTTGTGTGTACATATGTATTATATTCGTTTTTATAGTCGTGTCTGGTACTGCCTTTGAAGGGTATAGATTAAAGACAGTTTGATGGGAACCATAATATTTAGCCGTAAATAATATTGATAACTTGACATGATACATTTTTGGTCGATGATTAATGGTCTTAACTTTGTGTAATTTTCTTGGCTCATAATTTTTGTATCGTACTTAGGTGTAGTTCACTACACTTGTTTTTGTGTCGATGTCATGTACGTGGTTTAATTAGTTAAAAAAACGGGTAACAAATATTAAAAAAAAATTGGGATTTTTATACTTTCTGAAATATGTAATTTGGACTTTATTATTTTTCGATTGCACTAAAGATATGTATATATTTTTCTATGTTCTAGAAGCTCATCATTCCCATAAATACATGCTCTAAGAGCTAGGGAGATGCCTTAGGGACCCAAGAAGGACATTGTGCTTAGACATGAAATCATCTAAAACAAGAATGAAACCATCTAACCCATTCTAACTAATTTTGGCTCAACATGTGATAGAATGATTCTGATCACACTATTTTGTGCCTACAACTATTTTTACTTATGAGGGTAAGGAAGCTATTGATGCGAGAGTAAGTTTATGGTCCAATTTATTCCAATTATCTGGGTTGGACTATAAGTCGTAATATTATATTATGGCATTGATTTTGGCTCGACTATTTGTCTAATGCACTAATGACACGCCCTATGGTTTCTAATAAATGGGATCTTAAACATTTTATTGGATTTGACCAATGCCCACATGACATAATAAGTTGTTTCCTAACAACTTGTTTTTGAACTAACATAAATGATTGTGTCCAACTTCTTTATTTTATTTTGTTTAATCTAACTAACATAAAGAAGCATAAACAATTGAAGACAAATAAAAATAAGTGAACATAGACAAACATATAGAAAGTAAACAAATGAACGAATTCAAATAAGCGTAAACATCATAATCAATAACAAGAAAACTTGATCAGCAACACTTTGATATGTTGATCATAGTTAGTGTCACACCCCGAGTGTTTCCGGAAACGCCTACGTGCACGACGTAAATTAGTAATCACAGTTATTAAACATATATTGAACAGTAAACATATAATCTTCTATTATTACCGAAATACAAATTACATTGACAATGACTATTGCTAAATCGTGACACACAACTAACAATCCGACATTTACAAAGGTATAATATAAATAAGGGATATATACAGTAAAGCCCCGATATTTTCATCCAATTGACACGAAAGTCCCAAACTAATTTTTTTTGACACAAAAGCCTGAATTACCGGCATTTATTGACCCGATTGACATTTTTTGCCGGTAACTCATTTAATAGCCGGTAATCGAGATGATGTGGTTACTAACGCTTACTTGGAAGATGACGAGGACATCATTAAATGAAGAAGGGTTAATCAAGCTGGAAAAACCTCTCTTTCTACTGCGACAATTCTAGGGTTTTTACTGTGAAGGAGATACGAATTTGAGTCCAAGGGAGATACGAGTTGGAGCCTTGAAGATGGAAGGTGTGTTGGACTTTGACACGATCGACGTGGAACTAGATGAAGACCTTCTAAAGAAACAGAGTAGGAGATGTAGAGATGAGTTCTTGAACTCACTGTCTCTTGACGATGAAGATGAAGACTTCATTATCCCATTATTCGAGAATGTTGAAGATGATGAAGCACCAGTGGAAGAAGAACCTTTGGATGACGAACAGGAGGAGGAAGAAAATGTAGATGAAGTTGTGGATGAAGAGGAAAATGATAGTGAAGCTCAATTTAAATATTCCACACATGATCCAAATGTGAAATGGAATAGAATGAAACCTCAAGAGGGAGAAAGGTATGAATCTCCACAACAACTTAAACTCTGTTTAACAAATCATGCCATATCTAAAGGTTATCAGATTAGGTTTAATAAATGTGATAGTGTTAGACTACACTGTGTGTGTGCTAGTGATCATGATAAATTTGGTTGCCCTTATTATGTTAAAGCCTCTTGGATGAGCACTGAAAAGTCATTCCAAATAAAGAAAATGTATCCACATCATACATGTGTCAAGAATTTTAACAATGGAAAACTAATGGGACCAACATGGTTAGCTAGACAATTCCTTAAAGAACTTATTAGGACACCTAATTTGAAAGCTAAGGAAATCCAAGAAAAAGTTCAACACAAATTTCACACTAAGATTTCATGGGTAAGGAGTTATAGGGCTAGATGTAGGGCAATGTCCATTATTGAGGGAAAATTAGGTGATCACTATGCAAGGGTGTGGGATTATGGTGGTGAATTGCTAAGATCCAATCCAGACAGCACCATTAAAATTTGTGTCGAAGACAACAATGATGGTACAACTATTTTCAAAAGGATGTACATATGTTTCAAATCAATCAAAGAAGGGTGGAAGATGGGTTGTAGAAGGGTAGTAGGGATCGAGGGATCTTTTCTGAAAGGGCAGTGTAAGGGACAATTATTAAAAGCCATAGGTAGGGACCCAAACAATCACGTTTTTTCCATAGCTTGGGCTGTAGTTGAAATTGAGAATAAGTTTAACTGGAAGTGGTTGCTTCAATTGTTAGAGGTTGACCTTGGAATGGATGCAGGAAGGGGCATGTGTGTAATTTCAGACCAACATAAGGGTCTTCTTGAGGCAACAAAGGAGGTGTTACCATATGTTGAGCATAGACAGTGTGCACGACATATCTATGCCAACTTCAGAAAAGTATATAGTGGAATTCAGTTAAGGAACCTATTCTGGAAGGCTGCCAAATCAACGGTAGAGGGTGAATTCAAGAATCACATGGATGAGATTAGACAGATTAGCCCAGGTGCTTATGAACATCTAATGGCAAGGGAGCCAAATACATGGTGTAGGGCTTTCTTTTCCACTGGATTGGCCTGTGAGGCTGTAGAAAATGGTATGGCAGAATGCTTCAATGCAGTTATACTTGATGCTAGGAAGAAGCCACTACTGACCATGCTTAAAGAGATAAGGCTATATATGATGGACAGGGTTTACAACCTCAGGGTGTTAGGTGGAAAATGGGAAGGAGATGTGTGTCCATTTGCAATTAAGAAAATGGAAGAATTTGGTGAGGACTTGAAGTAAGTTCTCCTTGTTTTGTATACATTTATGCTAAGTTATTAATAACTTTTATGCTAATTTAGTAACAACTTTTATTTGTAGGTTTTGGAGGGTACACCCTAGTGGACAAAATGAATTTAAAGTTAGAAATGGTCTTGAATCATATGGAGTCAACATAGAGAAAAGGAGTTGTGCATGTAGACTTTGGGATGTATCAGGGATACCATGTGTCCATGCCCAAGCATCTATCATGTTAACTCATCAGGATCCAAAGACATTTATCAGCAAGTGGTTTGGTAAGGCAATGTACATTTCAAGTTATAGTTATAACATTCTACCTGTTAATGGCAACAATTTATGGACAGAAGCTCCTTATATTAAGCCCTTACCCCCTTAGAGAGGAGGATGCCAGGCAGGCCTACTGTGAAAAGGAAAAGGCATGTATCAGAGAGGGATGACAAGTTCTCTCAAGTGTCCTCAAAGGGCAGAACTGTCCAATGTCAAAACTATCAACAAAAGGGGCACAACAAGAAAACCTGTAAAAATCCACATGTTGAACCAGATCCTAAACCCAATAAGAAAATAGGCAGGCCAAGATTGGACCCTAGTCTAACCCAATGGACAAGACGTGGTAGAGGGGGGACAAGGGGAAATAGAGGAGGTGGTAGGGTACCTAGAGGTGGGGGTGGCTTTCATAGCTGGTTTGAAAGAGGTGAAACCTCAAATACAGTACCACCCCAAAAAAGGGTCAATGAAGAATATAATTCTGAAGAGATGGTGGATGTAGATGTGATGAGTGATGGAGATGGGCTGGATATGGCAGATATGGACTACATTACACAACAAATTACAGAGTTGAGGAAATCAGGTTACACTGATGTAGACATTATGAGATGCCTTGGAATTACAAAAGCTCATTTAGAAGAGTTTGGATATGTGGTAAGGTTTCATTTAGTGTTTATGTATATGATTAAGTGTTTTTTACTATTTTTTTTTCTGTTTTAGGCTGCCAATGTTGAAGGTGGACTAGAAGGAGATGGACAGGGTAATGAAGAAGAAGGAGGACATGGACAAGGAGATGAGTGGAAGGAGGTGGAGATGGACAAGAAGGAGAAGGAGATGGAGAAAAAGAAGATGGAGAAGGAGATGAAGGAGATGGACAAGAAGAAGATGAAGAAGGTGTTCCAGTGAATGATCCAGTACAACAAGGGCATTTTGGGAATAATATGAAACAAAGAACAAGGAGACCCTCAGAGAGGATCATTCTTCAGAAGCTGAAAAAGAAGGTGGTTGACCCTCTTGGTATAGGAATGTGTGAAGATAAGGCATTAGTTATAGATTAGTGATAGGGGTTATCATCTTTTGGTTCATATTTTGTAAAAGGTGGTACTATGTAAACTGATGCATACCATCTTTTGGTTCATATTTTGCATACCACTTTGTGGTTCATATTTTGTAAATGGTGGTACATATCCACTTATATTGGTTCATATTTTGTAAACAATTACTGGTAATTAAGCAAGGGCATTAACCAATGGTCACAATTGATCAATGTCATATTTTATTTCAAGTTTGGTTGTGCAGGTTAGCCTTGGTTATTGACAGTTTTATTATTCATATGTGGTTCATAGTTGTGGTACTTTGATTTCACCATAATTCAATACAACATAAGTAAAATGTTCATTACATTGCAAAAGAAACAACATCGTACATAGTGACTACATATCCCAATACATTATCTTAAAATACAAACCAAAACATAAACCCAAAATAAACCAGAACATTGACCACCTTGGAACAACACCACCTGCACCTTGCACTTGAGCTGGAACAACTTCTACTACTGCTTCTTCCATTTGTTCTACAACATCTCCATTCCACCCATTGTGCAATTGTAAGAGCAAGTCCTTGTACCACTGATTAGGGAGTGGAGGATCCACCCAATCAAAGAATTTGCAATCTTTACTCGAATCCTGGATAATCCAAGATTAAAGAAAGAAAAAAAAACTAAAAGATGAAGAATTTCAACATTAACAACTAACCCTATAATTTGGGCATCCAATGAATCTTCTTCCAGGATTTCTTGTCTTCCATGAAGTCCACCTTCCAACTAAGTCACCGCAGTCGCAATGTGTCCTTTGAGGGGGATTGAACCTTCGCATCACCTTGCTTCCAATAGATGAAGAAGACGACATTCTCATCTTTTCCTTTGAAAAATACGAAGCTAGGGTTCATGGGGATTGACGGTATGGTGCTTAAGTAAAGTCGACAACTCCACATAAGCCTCTCATTTAATAAATCAGTGGTCCATGTAAGCATTTGGTGCCACTTCAACAAGTAAACCGGATGCACCGACAGAAAAGGTCAATCGGGTCAATAAATGCCGGTAATTCGGGCTTTTGTGTCAAAAAAAAAATTAGTTTGGGACTTTCGTGTCAATTGGATGAAAATATCGGGACTTTACTATATATATCCCTATAAATAACGGAAAGTTTTCAGAGCGAACACTTCCGGCCTGCTAAATAACCTGACAATACATGCATTAAAATACATCAACAAAATTGTTAGTGAGTTGTACATGTTTTGATACCAAGTATTTTTAAAACAAAAAGCGATTTTTAATTGTAAAAGAGAGGCCGTAGAAACTTACCTTTGAAGCGTGAGTTCGAGTTGTTCGGATTCAGTGTGTTGGAGAAGCTTCACGTGAGAAACCGCAAGCCCATCATTCTTGAATTTTTTAAATACATGCGGGTCCATTTCGTAACAAAATTGAACTATCGGGGACTGAAGATTGGGATTCGTTCCGTTAAAAGTTGTTATTTTTATTCAAAGTTTGAAGATAGGGATTCCTTCTGTTAAAAATAACCAAATGAGGGGCTGTTTGTGGATAAATAGAATCACCTTTTGGGGATTGGGATCTATTTTGAATATAAATTTTAACAGTGGGGGCATTTTAGTCATTTCATAATATGACTTCAACTTAAGGCTCATAAGCCCCCGTCTCTTTTGTTTTGATCGGGTAAAGGACATGAATCTGTCCCAAAAGAAGTCACGAAGGAACAGATGAACAAAGGCAGTCCATCATAGACGCGAAGGAGCAATCGGCGACCAGAAGGGAGCACGATGGTTCGTTGCTCGACTCGCAATCGGTAGCGGTCTTCAGGGATCGACTAGACTGAAGAAGGAGAAGGATCGAAGCAGCGAGGCGGCTGTGACCTCGGACGAGAAGAAAGAAACGAAGCAGCGGGGCTGCTCGTCTTCAGTCTTGGAAGGAGTTGCGAAGGGGAAAGAAATCAGAAAAGGGGTCCGATAGAAGGTATGCACTGGCGATCGATTGAGCTGCTTAGAGGGAAAGGAAAGTGCGAGAGGCGGTGACAGGTGCGTGAATGGGGCTGCTCCGGCAGTTCGCCTGATTTTCTTCTTTTATTTTTCAACAGAAATGAAACAAATGGATTGTTTGGATTTGTTTGTGGCAGAAATCGATAAAGGGAAAGGATGTTTGGGTGTGATTGATTGGCAGGAAGAAGGAAACACGAAGAATCTTGGTTGTTCTTGGCAGCAATCGAAGGATGAGAAGAAGGAATAACAGAGGGGGGCTGAGAGTGGTATTTTGTTGTCCAACAGGTAAGTGTATGGGGCTGCTTTGGTCGAAGAAAAGGAGGGGAAGGGTTTGCAGTCGAGGCTGGGACAGGGAGCCCTCTTCTTCTTCGGTTTTGCTTGAGATTGTGAGAAAGAGTCAGGAAGAAGATCGAGGTTGATCAATGAATCCACAATCGATCTTATGCAGAGTTTTGTGAGACTTTTCTGTACCAAAAGATCTAGGTGTGATCCTGAGAGTACAATGCATTGAATTATTGGTTTATAATTGTCCAAATACATGTATGTATTCATGTGTTTTTTTGAATTTCTATTAGGCTTGATATGCATTAATGGTTTCCTTTGGGTCTTATGCATGTGTGGTGTATAAGTGAGTCAGTGAAAGTATTTGTTTGAAGAGTGATGATCGAAAATTTGAGTCATGGAGTGGTTAGAAATTGTTCATATTCATGTACTTAGTATGTTTCTATTAGATTTCAAGCATGTGGGTGTTGTTTGAAAATCATAAATCAGGCCAATTACATATACATTCATATACTAAACTCTTGTCATATTTGAATATCTATATAATATGTAATTATATGGATTGAGATCTAGGTTACGAATTTGCCAAAATTACAAAATAAGCCAAGACTTGGTCTTTTAATGTCATATATGACATTTATATACAAATATGTTTATATATAGTGATTACATGATTGTCTATTTATCGTATGCAAATTTGGATTTATAAAAACTATGACAATTACATACTAATTTTTGAGACATACGTTCCTAACACCAATATGTATAAAAATTTTCACTATTTTAGGAATATAGAATAATGTCTAAGATAAATTCGGATGAAAATCATAAGCGTTGATTTCGAAAACGTGCTCAAAATATTTTACGAGATTCGGGGCTACTCAAAACGAAGCAGTGCACAGTTTGATTTACGAAAATAAGATAAATACTAATT